AATATTTTTAAACTGTGTATTGTTTAGCCTCACAAACTCTGGACTGGAAAGCAAATATTAAGTATAATTATGAGACCAAGTAAAAAATGTCAGGTGAAGGCTAATTTGCGATGTAAAGGAAAATCATATACTCGTGATGAAKAATTTTGCTTTAAAGATTCATGCAAGTCAAATGATTAAAAATATTGAAAATAAGTTTGTTTCATATTTTTCAATATATTAATATATATTTTGTTTAAATAGATGTTTACATAAGGAATTCTGAATTGTTGGCTGGTACTATGGACAAGGCAACATTAGGTTCAGGTAGTAAATCAAACATATTTTATGTTTTGTTGGCTGATTGGGGTTCTGATGTCTGCTGCAAAGTWATGTGGCGTTTAACACGTCTTACGTCATACTTTTTAATGTTACGAGGATTTTCAATTGGCATTGGAGATGTTACTCCTAGTGATGATTTGCTTCAATCTAAAAATGAATTGGTTATAAATGGGTTAGGAATTAAATATTAAATTTTTTTTTCTATTTTCTGAACCATTAAATTAATATTTATTAATTTCATCAAATAGAAATGCGTTATGTGAGGAAAATATCCGTTTGAGAAATGCAAAAGAATTAAAATGTCAACCTGGTTGCAATATGGATGAAACTTTGGAAGCAAATATTTTAAAGCAACTATCTGGCATTCGAGATTCTGTTGGTAAAGCTTGTTTATTAGAGCTTCATTTTACCAATGGTCCATTAATCATGGCACTATCGGGTTCTAAAGGTAAAAATTGATTGTATATTTTTATATWAAAATTTAAAATRWAATAACTGTTTTCTATTTATTGTTATTTAGGATCCAATATTAATATATCTCAGATGATTGCATGTGTGGGCCAACAAGCCTTGAGTGGACATCGTGTTCCAGATGGATTTGAATCTAGGTCATTACCACATTTTAAACGATTTTGTAAGTGTGGTTCTTCCTATTTAACCTTGAATTGTATTGAATATCAAAAAAAAATATTTTTATAACTATTTTCAGCGAAAACTCCAGAAGCCAAAGGCTTTGTTGAAAACAGTTTTTATTCAGGCCTAACACCAACAGAATTTTTTTTTCACACAATGGGTGGCCGTGAAGGTCTTGTGGACACTGCTGTAAAAACAGCTGAAACCGGATACATGCAACGTCGGCTTGTCAAGGTTTAATTGATATATTTTATTTTACTTATGTTTAAATAAGTAATCAGTACATTTTATAAATATTGTTGATTATTAGTCTTTAGAAGATTTGTGTGTCCATTATGACAACACTGTACGTAATGCTTTTGGAGATGTCATACAATTTGAATTTGGAGGTGATAGCTTGGATCCTACTTACACAGAAGGTATAAAGTTGAATTAAAAAAGTTTTACAATTTTTTTTTTATCCTATTAATACWCTTTCATTAGCGATTATTTAAATCWATAAATTTAAAGATAATTGCTATAGAACCACTTCTATCTTTTTTTTTWWYCMMYTWAWT